GGGTGTCACATGGGCTGTTTTAAGCGTTTCACAAACTTCTGCGCCTACTAAAGACGTGTTCACGATTTGGGTGATCACTGGAATTAACTCCACTTCAGACTTCTTTAGTATCCATGTTGGCAGAGGATCGAGGGAACATGATTTTGAGGCTGATCTCTGAATTGTTTCTCTTATCTCATCTTCTGTTGCTAGACAAAAGCTCTCAAGCGTGCAACCTTCAAACTTTTTCTCATTGAATATGTTTGTTGGTTTATTTACACTGAGTCCTTGTCGAATGGTAGAGACTTTGTCGTGGAAAAATTCAGAAAATTGATCTAATAGGCTAGCATCATTTTGAACCGATGGCAGAACCTTTACTTCTCTTGGTTTTAGCAGACTGTTTGTAATTTTGTAGACTTCACGTGGATTATGCTTGTTTGATAACAGGCAGTCCTTAGTGAAGGATCGTTTAGCCAAGTCAATTAAATTATTAGTGGTAGTTCGAGCCTTATTGTAAATTTGTCTGTGAATTTCCAGATTGGTTTTTCTCCATGTTTTCTCGGCCTTCCTGCGTTTAACCTTATGATCACCTATTTCGTCAGTGTACCATTGTTTATTAGGCCGAATAATGATTTCTTTTGTTTTCAGTGGAGCATGTTTTTCCAGTATTTTGGAAAGAACGTCATTATAAACATCCACTTGTTGGTGGGTATCCGGCTTGGTGGCAATGGTACTCAGAAGTAATGAATTATTACTATCACTTCTAAATTTATCAATAGAAATGTTTTTTGTTTTTCTGAAACTTATTGTCCTCTTTATTGGTTCAGGTTTAGGAAATGAAAGATGGCAGAATAAACTGTAGTGATCAGATATCTGATGATCAACAACATCACATGCTTGAATAATGGAATCATGTTCTCTCGTTATCACGAGATCAAGAATATGATTATGTCTATGGGTTGGCACATCCACATGCTGTTTTAAACTAAATGCGTCTAACAATAGTAAAAATTTCTTAATGTTCGAATCATTGGCTTTATCAACATGAAGATTGAAATCTCCAAGAATTAGTAAATGTCCAGGTCCAGTATTCAGATTATTGAGTAGTTCAGTAAATTCTGTCAGGAAATCCACAACACTTGTTGAAGGAGGCCAATATATTGACACTATTCTTACATGATTCTTGCCAAGGAGTAGGTTTAATTGTAGTATTTCAAAAGTTGAAAATATGTTTTTTGTACTTACTCGGGAAACTTTTACAGACTTTTTGAAGAGACAAGCAATTCCACCTCCTTTAGAATGTTTTCTATTTTCAAATATTGAGTCAAAGTTGGTAGGAACTAATTTGTTGATGATAACTGTGTCTTCATTGCGAATCCACGACTCAGTTGCAATAAATAAATCCACATCATTATCAACAACATATTCATTCAGTTCATCAGTTTTATTTCGGACAGACCTGGTATTCAATATACATAAACTAAACTTTTCAGAATTTTTCTCATTTTTCACTTTCTTTGTTGGAGCACTTAGGGTCAGATCAATTAAGTTATTAAAATTAACACTTTGGTTGGTCTTGACAATAGGAACTCTTTCACTAATGACTGTCTTAATTGATCTTTGTTTATTCTTGCCAGCTCTACATCCCCTCGGTCTTAATTGACTGGACAAGAACAATGGTTGTGTTGACGAGTATATCATGTCACTGTAGCAAATCTTGGTCCATGAAGAATTTTATTTCACAATAAAGTGAATATGAATAATAAAAGTTACCAAAACTACCGTATGAATTAATCTTTTTCTGAATTTTTTTCGCGAAAGTTGTTTCTTGTACCGTGATACAGCACCAGTCCAAAAATCACATAAATCCAAATCCTTGTTCACAACAATAATTAGCAAAAACACAGAGCAACATAAAACATGTGCTGCCCTTAGGGCGCTCTAAGGAGCGATTACGGTATCAGTTCTATAACCACAAATGGGAGTACTAACCAGTACATGTATATGCAATGAGTCTTTTTAATTAGAAAATGTAATGAAATGAAACTTTACATGATGTCCTCCTATCTAACTAAACTTGTATACAAGTTTAAGTGGTCTAGATCATAAGGTTTGTCATTGATTCAAGTGGCATAGTTTCAATGCCATTTTTGTACGTGATAAGGAATAGGGTCAGCTGCTCAATTTTTTGTTTTTCTCTCATCTCTGGTTTTCTCCAACTGCTAATGACCCCTAGGTGCAAGATGAATTATTGAAAAATAATGTGTACCATATGTTAGTCCCGAAAAGACCTAGTTTTTATTAAAGTTTTATTTCTTCACTCTCTATACATGTATGTAAAATGCAATATGGATTTTATACCAGACTCCTGACCTGACATCTCAAGAAATACCATATGGGGTTCATTTGTGATTTGGGAATGAAAATAGATGAATAATAAATTGAGCAAGAACAGAATACTACTTTAAACATGTGTTGACTTGCCTTGTTATGATCTTCTGAATTTGATTTCTGTCCTAACTTTTTGTAATGTTTTGTATAAAATAGTTTCGATAATCCAGACTTATCAATCTGCTGAAGAACAGCCAGAAGACTAATTTCAAACCAAGGGCCCGTAACCTATTTTGTAATTTAAAACGTCTGTGTAGGGTAGGTAAATGCTTGGTTGTTGCATACGATTGAAGTTATAACTGTTAATTATGTTTACACTTAAAAGGAGCTAAATCGCTAATATTTGGGAACTAGAAATAGACACAAATGGGTCGTAACGCATATAATAATGTAATATGAATGTATATAAACTGATTTACATTCAATTGTTTCTGTTTTTACTGTAGTTTCTAATCAGTTATAATGTTTGGCGAAATACGCCAGGAATCTTAATCGAATGACAATCTCTAGTGTCTGGTTATTCCAGTCTACACCAAAGGTATTTGTTGAGCACATGCTCTCCAGATAAGTATATGGCATCACCGTTCAACATGACTTGAGAAATATGTCTAGCCTCGTTCTTCAAGTCCATTGTTACAAATGGTGCTGAAAAGCATTATAGTACACGATTTGTGTACCAATGGTAAAATGTATATTTTGTCTTAAATACTGGATATCAGAAGCCTATCTTTTCCTGGTAAGATCACAACATCAATCAATCACTTGAATCAATGTTGATTTAAATTGACAAATTATTTTTGTGTTTTCAATATCGAAGACTTTGGATGTTATTGAGTGAGAGACTTAGCTACTTTAAATAGTTATAGAAGTGTTATAACTTTTTAAATGGAGATAAACATGGGGGAAAATGAAGTGAGGCTTGTTATATAGGAATATTATGCCATGATTATCGAAAAGTCTTTAGCTACACGCAAAGACTGAAACTGCCAGTTCACTCAGATTACATGTCATTTGGGACTCACGTCATTTGGGACTCGCGTCATTTGGGACTCAAAAAAATATGACCACGACATTTGGGACTCGGGTATACAACGTTTGGGACTTTGGTATACGTTGTTTGGGACTCGGGTATACGACGTTTGGGACTCGGGATAATTTATTAGAAATAGGCCAATTCAAAACACGAAAGAAAATATTTATTAACATGAAACACGTGGTTAGTAAAAGGCTTAACCAAACGATAAAACATTAGTTGCAGTTTGCACTTACAGTTCTTTGATAATCATCGTCATAAAAGTTATATATTTATTTAAAACGAATAATATGCTGATGAATTTATTTGAAAATGACCTACACAAAAAACAAAATAAATATTTACACGACATGCAATCTTTTTTACAAGCCCCTAGAAATTGTGTTAAAATGATAATCCGTGAGCTGCACGTTGACATGCTTGTCGTAGATGGCAATACCAATCGATAAATTAGTGCGTACAAGGCAAAGTTTTTTTGTGGAAAATATAAGAAATGGCAACGATCAAAGCGGGATAATTAAAGCTGATTAACTGATAATCCCAATGTTATTGCATTATATTCAAAGAAACCTAACGGTTCTTTGGTGGATGAGGAAAAACGTGAGTTGTCAATCATCGAGAATGGCGGCTGTATGTTGATTGCAGTTATACCGTTTCACGAAAAAACATTAGCAGTGGTCGGTCAATCAAGCTCGTTTACTATTTGATAAAAGAAAAACAACGAAGTATATACACAAATTTTCAACAATATATTATTGTCAAGTTTTATACTCGCAGATAAAAGTAAAACAAAACAAAGGAGAAGTTTTATACTCGCAGATAAAACAAAACAAAGGAGAACTAGCAGTGTTAATCGCGGTCTCAACAATCGCCGATCAACTTAATAAAACCGAAAACGAAAGACATCTAAGGCAGCTGTTACTATATAGTATATATCTCATAAATAAATAGTCCCAACTGTCGTATATATTACTATATATCTCATAAATAAATAGTCCCAACTGTCGTATATATTGAGTCCCAAATGTCGTTTGTGTTGAGTCCCAATTGACGCCAATCAAGTCCCAAACGTCGTCAACTGAGTCCCAAATGTCGTTTATGTTGAGTCCCAAATGACGCGAGTCCCAAATGACGTGATACCTTCACTCAGTTTTTGTTAGTGATTGGCATGAATCTTATTTTTTTTCTTTCAAAAACATTTGCAATGCTAAATTTTGATCAGATATGATATGTGGTGGTGGTCATGCATATTGTAACAATATTGTACAGTTTATAATTTGCATCAATCACGCTACTAATTGTAAAAATAACAAAATTACCATCAGTATCCAAAACTTCCAACACATCACCTTCCATCTTGAATCCGGAATTTACCGAAGTTTACGTTATAGTGTTCTTTTTTTGGAAGAAAACTGTAATAATTCTTAAAAATATATTTTTACAATATTATATTGATCTATGATTCCGAAATTATCGGCTTTCATATCCTGGCTTCTATATGTTGACAGATCTATGTCAAAATTTATATACGGAAATGTACGAAGAAGAAGTGAAGGTCAATGTAAACAGGAAGTTAAAATAAAAGTAGACAATTAACACGTGTGACGTGTGTTTTTAGAACAGCTCTAAATTTATAATACAAAACACAGATGAAACAGAGCACATTGTACTCATTAGTGATGGAGTGAACGAACGAGGGTAAAGACATAACAAAGCGATACAGTACATTGTATTCGCGAATTTCAATCCATTCCTCCGGAAAATTTTTATTTAGACCTACTCTAGGAATAGGTGCAAATTATAATTTATTTTCAAGTTGTAAAATCGTGACACAGATTGAAGTTTTAATCAAAATGGTTTGCAGATGTTAGTATAAATATTTTACACTATGTTAGGGTTAATTTTATTAATAGAAGAAAGAACTGGATTTAAAAATGACCTCACAGCTTACATGTTCAGTTGAACCATGACTGCAGTATCAGGCAGTTGTTCAGAGGGCTAGGAGGTCAGAACCACCCACATATTTGTTATCTTACATTCATCCAAATAATGCTCCACTGGGCCACTCCACTATAATCTTATAAATATTGCCACAGCTAGCGCTTCTGATTTTATAAGATTTTCCGGTAATCACTTAGACTTCACACGCCAAACTTGATGCTTTCTTCACCCAAACCCAGACCCTCCCCTGCTAAAATTCCTGGAGACACCTCTGGTCATACGGTACTGTGCTGAAATTCTTACTGGAATTAGTGGAGAAATCTGGTATCTTACAAGCATCAAGAGCACATAACTTTAATGTAATATATAAAAATTTCAGAGAAATATAAAATATGCTAATTTCAAACCAAGGGCACGTAACCTGTTTTGCACTTTAAAGTGTCTGTAGTGTAGGTAATGTGCTTGATTGTTGCGTACAATTAGGCTAATTGCTAGTGCAAACAATCATTCAAACAATAATAGCCAGGCAACCCATTAGGAATTTAGCAGATATCACCAGAATTTGATTCATTAAAAATAGAGATGCATCATTCATCAAATGCCTCCCAAGTTGCAAACATTTTATGACACATAACTGTATCATAAAACGCTCCTCATACTGTTTCGTTTGTAAATGGTCATATGTATTTGTTACTACTGGGGAAAACATTCTTTTTGTCAGTCCTGGATTCCTTTTTTCTTGGAAATTTCAAAGCAAGTTTTGATGGATTGAACACCATTTATCAAACAAAACACTTTGACGATTATGGGGAGAAATGTTTTTTCCGACATATATTAGAGAGAGAGAGAAATGGGGTTTAATGTCCACTTGACACAAACTAGGTCATTTCGGGACTATCCAACATATATTAGTAATCTAATCTAATTTAAATAGAACAAAATTAATGTCTATTCTAATCTATTGTGATTGATGTTTCCTTCAGGTGATCAATTAAAATCTACACAATGAACAGATAAAAGTTACTTGTTCTTATATTTGATCATGGCATCTAATACTGATTTGATGTCTCAAGATGTCACATGGAAGAAACCTCTAGAGTTACTAAATGGTGGGGAAACAGTAAAAATATGTGCTCCAATGGTTAGATATTCCAAGTAAGTAGGCACCAGTGTTGATTTTCCTGCATGCCACAAGAGGGGTTGTACGTGACAAGGAGTAGGGTCGTCTGTCCAACCTTGTGGGTTTTCTCCAGGTCCTCTGCCTCTGGTTTCCTCCCACTTTTAAAGACAACTACGTGCAAGCGAATTATTGAAATAAAATTGAACTATATGTTAGTCCCAGATTGAACTAGTTTTGTCGAGTGGAGGTTAAACTTCATTTCTCTATCTCTCTCTCTCTCTGCATGCTACGAAACAGAGAAATAAAATGGGGTTTAACATCCTACTTTTATTCGCCAGTCGGGCCGGTGAAAAAGGACATATGCCATGCATTGTTCTATGAAGGAAATTTTGACTGGACAGCAGCAGTTTTACTTACTCTTCATCGAATTCCAACTGTCAAGAGTTCTTGTATATGCTGGAGAAATAGGACAGATGCATTATTTCAAGGCTTGACATTATATATATTTATAAAAACATATTACACTGTAGGTATGTAAATTATTTTCAGGAACTATGATACAGGTATTTGGAGTATTGCAATAACATCCATGAGTTCTAAATGTTTTTAAATGAATATATTACAGATTACCGTTTAGAATGTTAGTGAGAAAGTATGATTGTGATTTAGCCTTTACACCAATGATAATATCTAATAGTTTTAATAAATCAGTTCAAGCAAGAGATGCTGATTTCTCTACATGTAAAGGTAAAGATTTATAGATTATCTGTCAAATATAAAAGTATAAAAAAATTTGTTAGTCCCTAAATGAGAAATGATACCAGGTGTTCAAGAAAGAGTAAGCATACCTCGGCGACTGTTATTTATAAAGCAAAATGAGGTAAGAGTTTGGAATGAAATTTCGATTAGACTCATATTAGGTTGATTTGAGATTAAAAAATGAAATAAAATGAAATGGGGTTCGACACATTTTAATCCTTGTGATTGTTAAATTTAATTAAGGGGTTTAACGTAATATACTTTTCAGCACCAAATGAAATGGGTGTAACGTCCTACTGTTCTGCTCCGATTGAGCTGATGAAGAAGGGCAAACGCCATGCAGTGTGCTATAAAGGAAATTTTGCCCTGACAACTGCGCTATAGTACAAAATAGTGTATGCTATCTGTGGCTTCTCAAATAAATACAAAGTTGATAAATTAACTAGTTTTCATGATTTGATATTTTTTTTATTGTACATTACTACCTGCAATGTCGTGTGTGTGATGTTCCTTGTCTATTTGATGTCCTGGTGGCTCATTGATTAAGGCACTTGTTTACCTGGAGGTCCAGGGTTTGATTCTGGTGTTGGCCAACAAAGTTCATCATGATTTTTCGACACATGGTTGACCCCCTATTTATGGTGCAGGAAGGCATCTAGTTAGTGTTTATGTTCCGTGCACGTTGAAGAACCTATGACAGTTCAAATTCAATTACTGGTTTATGCCCTTCTTTATTAGTCTTGTAGCTGCCAAACCCCATTTTGTTCATTCATTCTTGTCTATGGGTTTTTGCTTGTTTATGTGTGGAGCAGTTCCGCTGCACATACCTCTAGAAAGAATAAACCTGCATTTGCCTGTTGTTTATTTCAGGTGATCGTCCTTTAATTGTACAGTTTGCTGCTGACAATGCATGTGATCTTTCTACAGCAGCAGAAATAGTTTATCCGTATGTTGCCTTGTTTACTTTTTTAAAGTCCTAATGTGTCCTTTTAAAGATACATTATGTAAGATTTAGATAAAGAACTAGCCATTCTTGTTATAATAGTTCGAAAGTAGATGATGTAAAATGAATAATTTGAAAATTTCATTCAAATTACTCCATTGCAAGCGAATATATTAGCTTTTGAAGGTTTGACAGACGTGTGCAATAATTTCAACCACCGTACTGGTTGATCGAAGCTAAGTCTCGGTCCTCCATATTTGATTAAATCAAAGTATCGCTGAACCATTCTAATCTATTTAATATCAGAGAATTCTGATGCCATCGAGAGTTGATTAAGGCCTGGATCAGTTAATTAATGTCTAATTAATACTTTAGAAAACATTTCAGGCATAAAGAAAGACCTGCAATAGGCAGATTTAGCTCTTGCATAATGCATGTTTAGCAATATGACTAGTTGTGGATGAACAAAAAATGAATAGCTTTTTTTAAATCTGACTGAAACCAAGCCGTAAAATTATCTAGCGTTGGTATTTTATTTTTGTTTTCTTAATAAAATGTTAAATAATCTATCTGAGAACATATTTAGCGGGGATAGGTTCGTGAGATATTTGGTATTTTAGTGAAAATGCAAATGATGCATTAAACCTTTAAACTGTAAACCTAGCAAAAAGAAACAAATAAAACCTTGAATTAAATGTTTAGTTATATTAGTATCTTTGTATAACAAATCTGTAAATGTTAGGGATCGACAACATTCCCTTAAATAGCTCAAAGACTTTGAACAACCCAATTAGATCTGGAAAAGTAATGGATCATAAAATGATTCCGGCACAGAGAATAGACATAGATGCAAAATAGTGTATCATGTAGAACAAACTGCATTTTTTCCAAAAGCCTTGAATTGCTTTTATTAGGTTTTGGAAAACACTGCTTCAAATTATACAATATCCAATTTGGATATTAAAAAAACACCAATTATGTAAAAAAAAACTTTTTATCATTATGTTGCAGTTTCTCAGATGGCGTTGACCTGAACTGTGGATGTCCACAAAAGTAAGCAATTTTTTTATAGCTTGATCGAGCAATTTACATAACTAAAACAACAGAAGTCTTGTATAAAAGGTTACCTTCATACTCCCAAGAATTGTCGCCGATATGACTTTGGTGGAAGCGGTCATTAAATAAAGCTATTTTACACCCACCCCCATAACCCCAAGAAAAATTAAGTTTCCAAAAGTTTTAGGCCTCTTTTTTTTTGTTATGAACAAAATACGTTTATATAACTATATTTATCATTACATATTTAAGAATAAGAATTTTGTATATACATTTAAGCGAAAAGAAATGTGTATATGTATGTACTCTATATTTTCATTAAGCTACCTTATGGGAGTCACAGGCATTGGCTCACTAATCAGGTAATGAAAAAAAGTCCTAGTATCCTTAGTCAGTCATATAGGACAAGAAAGTGTGGTCAGCCGGTGTACTCATTGGTGTGCATGTAAAAGACCCCTTGACAGTGGGAATTTGAGGAAGTGTAGGAGATAAAGGTGCTGTCCAGGCAAAATTATCCTCATAGCACACACATAGCCATGCCTGGTTTTTTTTTACTAGCCTTGTGGGTGCAGAAAAGCAGCATGTTAAACCTTGTTATATTTAAATTACCCTGAACATGATCTTAAACAATGTAAATGATCTAATACTGATCTATATTCCACCTACATTAATTGAGGTGATGTTTCAAAATTGATATTATTATAGTTTTAACATGAATTATAGATGAGTATGTGGATATATTTCAGATGGGCTATGGCAGCAGGATACGGATCATGTTTAATCTATAAACCTGAATTATTATGTGATATGGTGAAACAAACCCGATCTAAAATATCAGATGACAATTTTACCATATCTGTTAAGATGAGAATCCATTCAAACCTCAGGTATACTTAAAGGAGCTAAGTCGCTAATATTTGGGACCTAGAAATTGACACAAATGGGTCGCAACGCATACAATAGTGTAATATGAATGTATATAAACTGATTTACATTCAATCATTTCTGTTTTTACTGTAATTTCTAATCAGTTAGGTTCGGCGACATACGCCAGTATTCTCAATCGAATTTCAATCTCTAGCTTCGGGTTATTCCAGTCAACACCAATAGTATTTATTGGGCATGCTCTCCAGATAAGAATATAGCGTCACCGTTTGACATGACTTGTGGAATATGCCTAGCCTCGTTTTTCGAGTCCCTTATTACAAATAGCGCTGAAACACATTATGGTACACGATTCGTGTACCAATTGTAAAATGTTTATTTTGTCTTAAATATTGGATATCAGAAGGCCATCTTTTCCCGGTAAGATCACAACATCAATGTTGATTTAAACCGACAAATAAATCGTGTTTTCAATGTCGAAGATTTTGGATGATATTTAGTTAGAGACTTAGCTACTTTAACTTCAACTCTTTTTACTTTGTTTTCATCTATTCTATTTGTTTTGAAATCTTTAAAATATAGCTTGAATAGATTTATTATGGTCTATTTATAAACATGAGCAATTAAAGAAAATGTATACCAGGATTACCACCGACTCCCAGTTGATAGAACAAAAGTTAGTTCATTCAAAAAAACTTAGACATTCAAACACTGACATTAGTTTCCAATTAGGCATTTCTAAGCACTTGAATGACTTCAGACAGCATTGTGAAGGCTCATTACAATAATGTTTGAATTATTTCATTGGCATTTAGTAATTGAACTGGAAATAGACAGGTCACAATTCGCTGGAATTAAAATTAAATTACTGCTTTTTACTGGACAATGTCTTGAGTCTTTATCAACAGAAGTCTAGTCAAAATGTCGCAAATTGATAAACAGTAATTGTATTCCATAGGATTGTGACCTATGTATTACAATACTGCAATTGTTGATTGTTTTCCCCCTTCGTTTGTCTACTTATTCCAGCTGTATAGAGGTGGATGTAAAATCCTAGTGGTAGTGTTTCCTTCCAGACATTTATCTTCTGTTATTAGTCCTGTAAATGTGTTTGTTACAGGGAAACAGTAGATCTGTGTCAGAAAGCCGAGAAAGCTGGAGTCTCATTCTTATCCGTTCATGGTCGAACAAAGGACCAGAGAAATGATCCTGTTAATATAGAAGCTATTAGGTTAATACGGGAAAATATAGATATACCAGTAATAGCTAATGGTGATATTAAAAGTTTACAAGATGTTCAACTCACAGTCGACAAAACGGGTGTCCATGGTAAGTGATACATTTAGAAAGTTGTAGATAATGCTAGGTTCCCACTGTTGTGCGATGCGTTACGATAGGATTGCGTCCACGATCTGGTACATGTAGATACATTCAAATACCTCTCGATACGATCCACGATTGCTGCGACTGGCCACAATATATGATAAGACCTGATAGGATCACCACGATTACTCCACGGTTTCAGTTGTAGCGCGAAACGTGATAGTGGTAATCTAGCGTAATATGTTGATATTGAAAATTTACAAGATTTTTTATTTACAGTTGACAAAACTGGTGTCTATGGGTAGTAATGTATTGAGGGAGTTGTAGATAATAAAATGTTTACATATATGTTTATATGTCAGAGATAAAACAGGACTCTGCTGATGGGCTTAAATTTTGTAGCCTGGCAACCTATATTTTGTATATCACAATTTTATCATTATCAGATTTTTTTCAATTTGTGTTTCACTTTCTGTTGTTTTATATTAGGTATTTTATATTTAATATTTTATTTAACATCTGACAAATATTAACAATGTGTAGTGTTCTTACTTGTGTACTGTAAAGAGCCAACTGAAAAGCAGTGTTTCGAATCCTGTCAAGACATCATCTATTTACAAACTCACTAAAGTCTCTGATGAATAATATAGCCCCCTTGAGTCGTTTCACCAGCTGACATCCTGAAATGTAGAAAAACTGAAACAAAAATACAAAATGAAAAAAAGAATTATTTAATTGTATAATACCTAATGTTATGTTATTTGAAGGTGTGATGGCTGCTCGTGGTATTTTAACTAATCCAGCCATGTATAGTGGTGAAGATATCACTCCTCTTCATTGTATAAAACACTGGGTGAGTTCACTTAAATTACAGGAATTTTGAAAAGCTGTATGCAGTCTTCTCAAAATAATACACCCTATCACACCCTTACTGATGTTTCTATGGTCATGTGTGCAATACCAGAAGTGACAATCCAGTCATTCAGATAAAATGAAAAATCAAGGTTCTGTGCATAAAAAAGAACCTTTGGCAGTGGGAATTCGAAGAAGAGTATGTCAAAGCCAGATTGTTGGAAGGAACTTACCCTCATAGCACACTGTCTTTAATACCCTGATTGGTGCACAAAAGTAGGATTTTAAACCCCATTTCATTTCATTTATTGTTGGATTTTTTTTGTGAAATATTTTTGAATTATTTTTAATCAAGTTATATTATTTTGTTTCAGTTGGATATATCACTTTCACTAGGTACACCATTCCCTATCTTTCATCATCATTTGATTTACATGTTAGAGAGAATACTCTGTCGCTCTGAACGACGAATATTTAATACTCTGGGTAGTATGTCTGCGATATTAAACTTTTTACAAGAGCAGTATGATATATCCTAGCAGTATAAGTGGTACATAATATATATTTGCAGATCTATATTTCGTTTTGTTTTTTTATACTTTCGATGGCCTACACTGCATGAAGATCTGACCAGTTCTAGCGATAGGTCGTGTCAGAGGTCATATGAGTGGCTTTTGACCCTATGATATCAGACATTTGATTAACCAATCAGCATTGATGTTACTAGTGGATTACCCACAGTTCCATGCAAAACACTCCAAAAGCTCGCAGGAACAGAACGTTTCATTGGCTAATCCCTCACACCATTCAGAACAGGTCAATGATAACAACTCTTCCAGATCCTAGTGTAGTAAAGACAAGTAAAATGAAATTTTGAACTATAAAAAACGAAACGAAATAGGATATGTGTTTTAATCAGATTGATTGGTACAGGAATAATATGATATATCTAAAAGAAGTATAATTCATACAAGAACAATATAATTCAAATTATCATGTATACAGTAATCTCTATTCAGTGTCTCAGAATTAAAAAAGAATTATTCACTAGTGTACAGAACGTGCATGGGGATTTAAATAATATAAATGTTATGGAAATGTGCCCAATTGGTTGCTTATTATTACCATATTGGTAGTAGGTCACCAATATTAAACATTTTAAGGGAACAACATTAGCAGCAATAATTCCATTATTTTGTGTATTGAAATTGTAATTCTAAGAATTAATCAGATGTATTGCTGGTGTGTAAGTGATACAAGAGGAATATTAAACATTTTACAGGAAAAATAGCTGTTCAGTGCCTATGAATTGACAGGATTGATTTGCAATATCACTTTTGTGGAAGGAGACATTGTATCATAAGGCCTGTCATTGAGTCAACAGGCGTGGTTTCGATTCCTGGGTTGTACGTGACAAGGAGTAGGGTCGCCTGTCCAACCTCGTGGGTTTTCTCTGGGTCCTCCAGTTTCCTCCCACTGCTAAAGAACCCTACCTGCAATCGAATTATTGAAATAAAATTGAACCATATGTTAGTCCCTAAATGACCTATTAGATTTCGAGTGGTTGTTAAACCTCTCTCAAGATCTAGGGGGCCTCTGGTCAAGGTGTATAATATTTTTGACACTACCTTTTGCCTTTCCTACATGCACTAGCAGTAGTTTTAAACATTCGTCATCATTCCAGGATTCGTTAATAGTGTTTAAAACACACTTTCATCTTCCCCTGGTCATGGGAGTTGAGGGTTGGGAGGGACCTCATAAGTGGAATAACTTATAGGACCCCTTGTATCTAAATTCGGCACTATATTAATTAGCTACGAGAACTTAGCTAAAAACGTTGAGATATACTGACGTGCTTGTACGAAACACGGAGGGTAACATATTAATGTCAGATTCGAGTAACTTTCTATTATAGTAAGACAGTATTGTATAATAACGGTATTTAAATCAGTCAATTGTTAACACGTGACACAATTATATGGAATACAAGTTACTTGGAAGTTTCGACGAGAGTTCTGTCATTCTTTGCATGATAAAGACGAGAGAACCCTCGTCGAAACGTCGCCATAAATAAAAGTTTAAGTATAGTAACTCTTATTCAGTATAATGTGTCATTACGTCCTCATTCAGTTACTAAATGCCGCTGAAACAATTCAGTCGATTGTTATTAACACGCCCACCACTAAAAAGATTATTTGTGCCTTTATCCACAATTTTGAAAATAAAAATAAAACAACGGAAAGGAATCAAAATGTTTACTAAATAGAAGAGATATGGACAAAAGTCAAAAAATATTTTCGCTGCATTGACCTAAAAGCGCAGTTTATATTAAAGGGAGGCAACTTGCCTAGTCGTAAATGTATGCTTTGACATTTACGACAGTTTAAAGAATACATTAGACATGCAAGTATTGAACTCTTTGTCTGCACTCCAAATAGGACGCAACCTTGTCTTTTACATAGATAACACCACTCATCGTCAGACCTTATGACATAGAAAAACTGTATTGATTTAGGCACAGGAACAATGACGTAATGATAGTACGTATACATCGGGGTTAATAAACAAACAAGAGTGCGACTGATGTGAGAAATATTAGACCGGAATCATTTGGTTTTTGTTAGGATTTGGGTTCATGATATATCAATCTTTATAAACGACGAACGCCACTTGTGATAAAATAAACAATGGAAGGCTGATCACACGAGAAACAAATGTTCTATAACATTCACGTTGTTTGATAACGTAGGCTTATATTATTATAATATACTCTGTTTACATGTTGAGACTATATACTACACCAATTCCTGGTGCCAACATTACTAAGAAAGTAAGTCAGGGTCGTATTTTCTAGAAATTGCAAGTATAGGACTGAATGATAATGGGATAAATTTGTTATTACATCGAAATGTCTATCGAAAAAATAAAGTACAAAAATTATACACGAACTTAAAGGAAAGTAGGTCAGGGTCGTATCTTCTACAAAATGGAAGAACTTACTGATATAGTTGGATAAAATTGTTGTTACATCGAAATGTCTATTTAAAAAAAAGGTACAAAATTTATACACCAACACAAATTCCGAGCACTCACATTACCAAACAAGCTGGTGCTGTATATTGTAACCAAAAGAAAAATGGAGTTAATCGTACTCGAAACTTAAAGGAGCTTAAATCGCTAATATTTTAGACCTAGAAATTGGCACAAATTAGTCGCAACACATGTAGTAATGTAATATGAATTTATATAAACTGTTTTACATTCAATCGTGTCCGTTTTACTGTGAATTGTCATCAGTTATGTTCGGCGAAATATGCCAGAAGTCTCAGGCGCAAGTCAGTTTCTAGCGTCAACACCGATATTATTTATTGCGCATGCTCTCCAAATAAGAATATGATATCACCGTTGGACATGACTTGTGGAATATGTCTAGTCTCATTCTTTGAGCACCTTGTTACAAATGGCGCTGAAACGCATTATGGTACACCGAATGGTAAAATGTTTATTTTGTCTTAAATATTGGATATCAGAAGCCTATCATTTCCAGGTAAGCTCACAACACCAATGCTGATTTAAATTGCAAAAAAAATCGTGTTTTCAATGTCGAAGATTTTGGATGATATTGTGTTACGGACTTAGCTACTTTAAACATACATTATGCAAGAGCTAAATCTGCCTATTGCATGTCTTCCTTTAGGCCTGAAATGTTAGCTAAATTATTAATCTGACATTAATTAACTTATCCAGACCATAATCAACTCTCCATGTCATCGCTAGCCTGCAATGTTTATTGGATTAGGTTCCGACAATCGAGACTTATGTTTTATTATCGTACCGACTTTAGTAATGATGATCGGGGCTAGGCCGAAAAGTCAATCGCTAAAATCTCTTTTCAGAGTGATCAAGATCAAGTTGACTGAAATCTTCAGCAAATCTCCTTTACATTATCATGTTTTTAACTATTATAGTGAGGACTGCCAGCTCTTTATCTAATCTCCCATAATGTATCTTTAATTTGGTAATTTTGGGACTACAGGGGTAGCCAGTGTGTGTTAGTGCATAGACATACGGTTAGGTGAAATGTGTTAAAGGGGGTATTTTTTTAATATTTGGCACCTAAAAATGGGACACTAATGGGTCGCAACGCATATAATAATGTAATATGAATGTATATAAACTGATTTACATTCAATCGTTTCTGTTTTTACTGTAATTTCTAATCAGTTATGAAGGGGGGGGGGCAATAGTTAGTACGTGCGCGCTGTTTCATGGGGTCTTCCATTGAGTCAGCTGGCGTGGTTTCGATTCCCCGGTTGTACTTGACAAGGAGTAGGGTCGCCTGTCCATCCTCGTGGGTTTTCTCCGGGTCCTCCGGTTTCCTCCCACTGCTAAAGGGGGTCACGGTGGCTAAGTGGGCAAGACGCGTGCTCGCTAGCCTGGAGGTCGCGTGGTCGATCCCTGCATTGGCCGAGAAAGTTCACCCAGATTTTTCGGCGTGGTTTCCCCTTGTCAGTGATGCAGGACGGAGGGCCTGACAAGGACAGCTGTCTAGTCATTCGGATGAGACGAAAACCCGAGTCCCATGTACACATTGGCGTGCTCGTAAAAGATCCCTTTGCAGATGGAATTCGATATAAGAGTAGGCCGCTGTCCGGGCAAAATTTCCCTCATAGCACACTGTATGGCGTATGCCCGTCTTCATTAGCCCAGTTCGGAGCAAAACAGTAGGGCGTTAAACCCCATTCCATTTCATTTCATTTCCCACTGCTAAAGACCCCCTACGCGCAAGCGAATCATTGAAATAAGGTTGAACCAAGTGTTAGTCCCAAATTGACCTAGTTTGTGTTGAGTGGACGTTAAACCCCACTTCTCTGGCTCTCTCTCTCTCTCTCTTTGCCTCAGAAATCCCGGGATGTATTATATTAGCTAGTGTATAAAACTCACATGGAAATACTACACCCTCTAGAAGAACAATAAGATAAGATAGAGCAGCATACATATTGTTATAAGCAAAATACAAGTAGTACAATAGAGCCAAAACATATGATATGATATATCCTAGAAAATGTTTGACGAAAGACGCGAAGAATCCCAATTTTTTGGCGTCTGGTTATTCCAGTCTACATCGGTAGTTTTCGCCCCTGGGATAAGTTTAGCCTCGTTCATCGAGTCGCTTCAATACAAAAGGCACGCAAAAGCATTCTGACACGCGACTCGTGTGCCAATCTTAAAATTTCCATTATGTCTTAAATATTGGATATCAGAAGCCCATATCTTTTATCGGCAAGATCACAACATCAATGTTGATTTAAATTAACAAATAATTCGTGTTTTCAATGTCAAAACCTTTGGATGATATTGAGTTGGAGACTTATAGCTACTTTAACATCTGCTTCTACCTATGGTGATATCGAAGCAAGTATTAGTATAAGCGTCTATATAGGTTAGTCAGTCAATCCACAATCATTGGTCACTGCATCATATTACAATAGCTTGAGTACCACATGATCACCATTTGCTACCAAGCTGTAATGACCAACACACATTTACAAGCTTAATAGATTTTTTTTATTTTAGTCAAATGTAAAACCATCTCGGCCAGTTTTCGTTTTATGGCTGTTAACAGATTAGCAAAATCCAGGTGTTCTGATTTGAAAATGACCATTGGAAGAAAAATATTCTGCAAAATAGCTCCTGTCGGGTTTCCGGTGGATTTCTTTAGTAACATCATGGACCTTAAAATACATTATAAGGTCCATGGTAACATTTGTGAAAATAAGATATTAAGTATAATATGAATCAAACCGAAATATTACTTTATATATTTCAAAAGAAAACTACTCAATGATGGCGTCTTTCCGGTACCCTACAAATGAAGAGAACATAAATCATTTTTTCAAAACTAAAACACCAACGTAAGCTATTAGATTAAAAAGCAATTGGAAATATAGACTTCACAGATTCCACATCTATAGCCACCAATCGCCAATCTACCAGCATGTAATGGCTTTAATATGAACACGTTATTTTAGAGAGAAATAGTGTTTTTAATCAGTATGCTTTAATAGAACCTAGACTAGTAGGTGTAATAACACCCTTTCCTGACCATGTTGTGTCCAGATCTTCAGCTTTAGACCATCTTGTACTCAACAGGTTGTTGGCAAAAATGAAAAGATTGAGTCTACTTTTAGTTTCTGTAGACGTCAGTGTGTTAGTCTACAGTCCTACTCATATAGTTGTTAGCCAGACTGATTAATATTATTTCATCCGAGAAATTCCAGCCCGATAGTAGTTTTTGACCTCTATTGATGAGCTACTTTTGTTATGAGGGTTAAAGTCGATGACCGTCACGGAGGGGTGTTCAATCCAAGGCACACTACAATATTGTGAAAATTGAATCTGTAAAACGAATATCATAATAAAAAGGATTAATTCCTTTCTTTATTAACAAAAAACATTATGAATTTAAAATTTCGCAGACGATATAAGCAAGCCAGCACCACCTACACGTGTTAATA